TCCCAGCAGCTAGTATTAGCTCCCAGCAGCTAGTATTAGCTCCCAGCAGCTAGTATTAGCTCCCAGCAGCTAATATTAGCTCCAAGCAGCTAGTATTAGCTCCCAGCAGCTAATATTAGCTCACAGCAGCTAGTATTAGCTCACAGCAGCTAGTATTAGCTTCCAGCAGCTACTGTTAGCTCCCAGCAGCTAGTATTAGCTCCCAGCAGCTACTGTTAGCTCCCAGCAGCTAGTATTCCAAGCATACAGGTCCTTCTCAAAAAATGAGCATATTGTGATAAAGGTCATTATTTTCCATAATGTAATGATAAAAATGAAACTTTCAAATATTTCAGATTCATTGCACACCAACTGAAATATTTCAGGTCTTTAATTGTTTTAATATTGATGATTATGACATACAGCTCATGAAAACCCAAAATGCCTGTCCCAAAAAATTAGCATATTTCATCCCACCAATGAAAGACAAGTGTTTTTAATACAAAAAACACCAACCTTCAAATAATCATGTTCAGTTATGCACTCAATACTTGGTCGGGAATCCTTTTGCATGAATGACTGCTTCAATGCGGCGTGGCATGGAGGCAATCAGCCTGTGGCACTGCTGAGGTGTTATGGAGGCCCAGGATGCTTCGATAGCGGCCTTAAGCTCATCCAGAGTGTTGGGTCTTGCGTCTCTCAACTTTCTCTTCACAATATCCCACAGGTTCTCTATGGGGTTCAGGTCAGGAGAGTTGGCAGGCCAATTGAGCAAAGTAATACCATGGTCAGTAAACCATTTACCAGTGGTTTTGGCACTGTGAGCAGGTGCCAGGTCGTGCTGAAAAATGAAATCTTCATCTCCATAAAGCTTTTCAGCAGATGGAAGCATGAAGTGCTCCAAAATCTCCTGATAGCTAGCTGCATTGACCCTGCCCTTGATAAAACACAGTGGACCAACACCAGCAGCTGACATGGCACCCCAGACCATCACTGACTGTGGGTGCTTCACACTGGACTTCTGGCATTTTGGCATTTCCTTCTCCCCAGTCTTCCTCCAGACTCTGGCACCTTGATTTCCGAATGACATGCAAAATTTGCTTTCATCCGAAAAAAGTACTTTGGACCACTGAGCAACAGTCCAGTGCTGCTTCTCTGTAGCCCAGGTCAGGCGCTTCTGCCGCTGTTTCTGGTTCAAAGGTGTCTTGACCTGGGGAATGCGGCACCTGTAGCCCATTTCCTGCACACGCCTGTGCACGGTGGCTCTGGATGTTTCTACTCCAGACTCAGTCCACTGCTTCCGCAGGTCCCCCAAGGTCTGGAATCAGCCCTTCTCCACAATCCTCCTCAGGGTCCGGTCACCTCTTCTCGTTGTGCAGCGTTTTCTGCCACACTTTTCCCTTCCCACAGACTTCCCACTGAGGTGCCTTGATACAGCACTCTGGGAACAGCCTATTGGTTCAGCAATTTCTTTCTGTGTCTTACCCTCTTGCTTGAGGGTGTCAATGATGGCCTTCTGGACAGCAGTCAGGTCGGCAGTCTTACCCATGATTGTGGTTTTGAGTAATGAACAAGGCTGGGAGTTTTTAAAAGCCTCAGGAATCTTTTGCAGGTGTTTAGAGTTACGTCGTTGATTCAGATGGTTAGGTTAATAGCTTGTTTAGAGAACCTTTTCATGATATGCTAATTTTTTGGGACAGGAATTTTGGGTTTTCATGAGCTGTATGCCATAATCATCAGTATTAAAACAATTAAAGACCTGAAATATTTCAGTTGGTGTGCAATGAATCTGAAATATATGAAAGTTTCATTTTTATCATTACATTATGGAAAATAATGACCTTTATCACAATATGCTAATTTTTTGAGAAGGACCTGTATAACCACGACCACTCCAGTTCCTGAGCAGCTTATAGAATTAAACTCTGTTCATTTATTTATTATTCACAACAAAGTAGTCTCAGGGAACAGGAACATTCAGAGAAAAGACCATCAGTGAAGTTCTCTATATAAGGAAGCAGCAGTGACACCCCCACTTTGCTTTTCTGCCGAGTCACACAATAACTGAGGCAACCCCCCAGGAACAAAAGTTCTGGCCAGACCTTGTGTCAGGAACAGGCTGTGAGACCTCCTGGAACTGAATGATGTCATACTGGTGTCACAGCTGCTCACAGAGAGCAGATGTTTTCACTGAGTATAAATCTGGTTTAATCTCATCACATCATAACTTTTTAAATGTTTTCACATCAGCAGTATCTTTAAAGAAACTACAAGAGTGAACTACAGACATGTGTGTTGCACCTTTGATGAGGGATCCCCTCCTTGTTGTTCTTGTTTCCCACAATGCCTCTGTCCTTTCATGCAGGTTCAGGTATTCTGCTCTTCATCTTTCACGCCAACTTCCTGAATGAGATCACAGCCAGGCTCTGCGGACCCTGTAGTGTGCACGCTGTCGTGCTCAACGACAAATTCCAGCTGCCTGTTTTCCTGGTGAGTTTAACTGCTGTTTATTATCGCCCTCGGACAAAAGCCGAGTGATCAAGTTTTTACCCGAGTATCCGTTTTGTTTGTTTGTAGAGTTGCTCATGAAGTAATGGATGAATTTAATAAAACTCACATCTACACCTGATTAAGTTTTAGAGTCGATCCAGATTAGCATGGCCGTCACAGCTAACATGACAAACACAAAAATGGCTCTTAGGGGCCGTTTACACGACGTGTATTCTGAGAGCATCGGCAGCTTTCTCTCTGAGGTTCTGCTGATCATTTACACGACACCAGTGCCCCCCTCTTTGAATCCAGATGTTTCTGAACCCACCTTCCAGAGTGGAAGTTTTTCTCTGACCCCCCGCTGATAATGTAAACATCTCCCGCTGAGACTTTATGTTAAACCACATGCGCACACGCACGTGCGGACAGACGCTATATTTCTATCAACATGGCGGCGGATACACTGCTTTCTGAACCTCCACTGATGGAATATATTTTAATCTCGTAGTTAATCTACGTCAGATCCCAGGTGCTGTGACCGACATCTGTGTTGGAAGAGACACAGTCTGATCCAGTTCTGATGTCGCTGTTTATAGAACGAGGCATGTGCACACGTCGCGCTGCTCTATAACATCTAAATGTGCTAAATAATAAGTTTAATAATAATAAACAGTATTTATGTTAGTGTGCGATATAATGAAACTATCTGGACATTATGTAATTCAAATTTAAAATGATGCTAAACATGTAGCGTGAACACTAAAGTTGAAAATGAAGACACCAGGTTTAATTTTTATTTATTTATTCAACACCACAAACTGTATGTCACACAAACACTGATCATTAAACTGAACACACTATTAAAACAAGTTAACTGTAAACTGCATTAATGAACTGGACTCTTGATTTCATCCTGGATGTACCACGTTGTTCATGTGGCTCGTTCAGACTTGGGGTGGGCGATATGGCTCAAATATAATATTGTGATATTTCAGAGCATTCTGGTGATAACGATAAATTTTGTGACATAACAAAACAAAAAACAGAAATCATAGTTATTTATTTGACAAAATTAACTTAACATGTTGCTTTGCAGTATTATATGAAAATAAAATAAAAAACAAGGGTTAATTTTACTGAAATTACATTATTTAGTAAAGTATTCAGACTCCAAGTATAAAAATAAAAAATAAAAATGATCCTTCTGTTATTTAGATGAAAACGTCTGCACAAAATATAAATCAATAAATCCTCCACTAAAACTAAAGTGCAGGTGAAGTTTCCCAAAATAACAAAATAAAATGAATCTTAAGATCTGTTGATCATAAATGTAACAACAACAAAATATATGTTTCTTTAAATGAGCTGTAACTTCCAGAAGTTGTAACAAGGTGATCACCTGACCCTGAAGCTGGTGGAGTTTCATCTTCTTCTGTTCCTGCAGGAACGATTCATTTCTATGATACTCTATCGCTGATCACATGACTCTGTCTCTGATCACATGACTCTGTCTCTGATCACACGACTCTGTCTCTGATCACATGACTCTGTCTCTGATCACATGACTCTGTCTCTGATCACATGACTCTGTCTCTGATCACATGACTCTGTCTCTGATCACACGACTCTGTCTCTGATCACATGACTCTGTCTCTGATCACATGACTCTGTCTCTGATCACATGACTCTGTCTCTGATCACATGACTCTGTCTCTGATCACATGACTCTGTCTCTGATCACTTGACTCTGTCTCTGATCACATGACTGTCTGATCACATGACTCTGGCTCTGATCACATGACTGGCTCTGATCACATGACTGTCTGATCACATGACTCTGCAGTTCGGTTTGGTCGTTCGGTGCGCTCGGTTCTGTTAAAGGGGCAGGGCACCCTGACGTATTACGTTATGAAATTATTATATATCAAATTATTAATTATCATATCATCTAGGGCTGCAACAACGAATCGATAAAATCGATAAAAATCGATGATTAAAAGCGTTGGCAACGAATTTCTTTATCGATTTGTTGTGTCGCGCGATTATGCATCTTTCACGGCGCTGCGGAGCAGTTTCGTTTTGTTCACGAGCAGTTCATTGTCAATGCTGACTGACTGAATAAAGTTTGAAGAAAAAAAAAAACTGCAGCGCGAGTTGAACAGAGCAGAGGCGTGTTTTGAAAGGAAATTAAGTAAATTTTACAAATGATCGACGCAGAGAAAACTGTTCGACCCAAGTCCTCCAAAGTGTGGGAGAACTTCACAAAGATAAAAAATGAGAAACATGCAGCTTTGAAAATCACCGACACGACACGGAATAACCACAGAGATGAAACATAAACATGTCGGAGTCACGAGGAGGAGGAAGGAGCTGCAGCAGATACAACTCGTGTTGCAGGTGAGTCTCTACAATTTAACACTTTGTTCTGTTTCAAGAGAGAAAATGTAACGTCAGTCTGTGGTAGATGAAGCTGTTTGTTTGTTTGTTTGTTTATCTGATTAATGACGGTGATAGAGAACGTGTGTTACTTTTTATTTAATTTAATTGGTACAAGCAGTGTTTAAATGTGATTTATAAATAAATTTAACACAAAGATGATAATTTAATGATTAAGCTTCAACTTTTAATTTGTTGGCAAAGGCTGAAGACACTGCAGGTATGGCAGGATGAATTGCATTTAATCAGGAATTAAAGTAATTTATTACATCTACTCAAATGTGTGTAATTAAGTATTTGTGTGTGTGTGTGTGTGTGTGCGCGCGTGTGTGTGTGTGTGTGTGTGTGTGTGTGTGTGTGTGTGTGTGTGTGTGTGTGTGTGTGTGTGTGTGTGTGTGTGTGTAATTGCTCTTTTAGCTACTTTTGCCTGAACCTAACGCTGTAAGTGAAACAAGGCGTTTCTTGAGTTGCTGTAAATTATGTTATAAAACATATTTACTGTCTCATTCCAGAAAACAACAACAAACGACATCCTTCATGATGGACAGACATCATGGACACCACAGCAGCAGCTGTCTTCACTGAAACATCCTGAACATGATCGTCACTGACATGAGGCCTCTGTCGATGGTTGAAGACGAAGGCTTCACTACAATAATCCACTCTTTTAATCCAGGTTACAATAATCCACACTTTTAATCCAGGTTACAA